ATTTCCAACTTTTGATTGTTCTGAAAAAGTTATAAAAAGGTTTAACTTTGTTTTGTTCTGCACGTGCCTTTGTTGTATGATATTGAAAATTATTGGCGGGGTCTTTTTCTTTATGTTTGTTGTTGATATATGTATCAATGGGGTCTGTTTTTGCTTATATTTCAACAATAACAGTTTTGTTTAGATGGTGGGGTATGTTCCTTGGTTATTGAAAAGTATTTTTTTTTGCTTTGTTTATGACAAAAAACCTAGGACGACTTTAATAAATATTTTTTATTTGTTTTTATTAACAGGTATAAACTCTTAGAATTTTGGTATTGTGATACACCATGGTGATTTCATTGTTAGAAAACCTAGGAAAGCTTTTACCGGAAAATTAGTGGATTATTTTGATAATTTTGATGTTGATACAATATCAATGTTTGAAATCAATTCTATGGTTGAAAATATAGGGTTTAGTTATCCTGTTAAGATTTACTGGCAGAATTCAAAAGTTCCATTTAAGGTTAAAGAATTGATGAAGATATCATGGAGATGGTTAGTACTTTATCTAGGGACCATTATGTTCATATTTACTGTAAGGAAGAAGTACATCATGAAGGACGAGTTGTACCTGAGCTGAAGATGAGGATTATGCTGCTAAGTCATCCACTGATTTATCTATGTTTTCTGACAGTGAAAATGAGTTTCTAAGTTCAGAAGATGAAGGATACATTAATCATATTGGGTTGGGCAATTTTGAAGCAGAGGTTGAATATGAAACTAAATCTTTTAACATTGAACAGTCTTACTCATTACACATTGTAGATGAATGAGATTCAGATGGTGGTAAGAGGAAAATAGGTTTCCTAAATTTAACAGTTCTACTGACATGTCTAATCCTAGTTTGATGGTTGGTTTAATATTTGCAAGTAAGGAAATCTTGAAAGATGCGATTAGGATCTATAATATTAAAAATAAGTACAATGTCAAGTTGAAGAAAAATGACAATAAAAAGATTCAAGTAACATGTACGAAAGGTTGCTCATTGATTTTATGAGCATGTCCAATGAAAGGTGAAGATCCTAAAACAGGTACTTGGCAGATTAAGTCATTGAAAGGTGAACACAATTGTATTAGGGAATTTAAAAATAAAATGTAATTTCTAAGTGATTAGCTAAGAATTATGAAAATGCTTTTTATATTGATCCACACTTCTCATTTAATTCCCTAAACAAGTTGTGCACAAGGATTGAGGCATCACTGTGTCAAAAGTAAGTGTATTAGGGGAAAAAATTTGGCCCTTTAAAGACTATATGGGAACTATAATGAGCAGTATGCAAAACTATATGCTTACCTAGGTGAACTGAGATACTCAAATCCAAAGATAACAACAATTTATCAGTTATATGAGAGACTTTTCAAGAGGGTTTATGTGTGTATGTAAGCAATGAAGGGGGCTTCAAGGCAAGTTGTAGGCCCATTATTGGTCTGGTTGGATGTCATTTGAAGGGGTATTATCAGGGTCATCTCTTGACAGCTGTTGGGATAGATGCAGATGACTCAATATACCTAATAGAATGGGTTATTGTGGAGAGTGAAAATGTGTCTTCATGGTGCTAGTTTCTGGAAATATTAGCTAATGATTTGGAGATAAACAACTCTCACTACATCACCTTCGTGACTGATAGACAGAAGGCATGACTTAATGTTAACCTATTAATTTTGACAAAGTTTTAGCTTACCTTTTATGCTAACTTCTTTTTTTATAGGGTCTAATGGAAGGTGTGACAAAATTGTATCCATACTCATAGCACATAACATGTGTAAGACACTTTTACTCAAATTCAAAGACCAATGGATTTGTTGGAAAAGCATTGAAGGGCCAGTTGTGGAAAGCTGCAAAAGCAACATATGTGAGGGAGTTTAAATCTACCATGGAGGGATTTAAGGTTTTTTCAGAAACTACTTGGAAGTGTTTGTCACCTAAAGACCCCAACAAATGGTCCAAATCACATTTTTCTTTCAGATGCAAGTAAAACATACTTCTAAATAATAGTTGTGAGTGTTTTTAATAAGGCAACTACTGTTAATTCCCTGATACAAACATTTCTTTCAGTTTATTAATTACTATTATTGTTGTTGGGTCAGATAATACTCGAAGCTAGAGATAAGTCTATCATTACATGTTTGGAATCCATCAGACAAAGTTGATGCAAATGCTTAGTAAAAAAAAGGATGAAGTTGAAAAGTGGAATGGAATGTTGTACCTTAAAATTAAAAAAAAAAACTAGACCATGAACAACATTCACACATAGGTAACTTTTACTACCATAACAGTTGCTGGCCTACTTATGTGCACTAAAATTATGCTAACTTTCAGTTTTTATACAGTTTTTAGCCTACTTATGCTGGTGGAAACATGTACCAGGTTTCATATGGACCTTTTAACCAGCATTCTGTAAACATCCAATAATGGGTGTGTTCATGTAGAAAATGGGAATTAACAGGTTATTTTATGTTGGCCTACTTATGCTGATAGAAATATGTTCATGATACTAACTAATTATTATTTCATGTAGGGATTCCATGTGTACATGCAATTTGTGTTATTTTAGCACTTGAAGATAGACCAGAAAAATATGTTCACCATTGATATTTTGTGTCGACCCAAAAGACAATTTATTCATATTTGATCAATCCAATGAGGGTGAGAAACAATGGACTCCTGAAGAAACATTGGAGCCTATCCTGTCACCTGTATTTAGAAGACCTCCAGGAAGACCACACAAAAAGCGAAAAAGAGAGGTTGATAAATCATTACCTATACTTGGTAGGGTGTCCAAGAAAGGTGTTAAGCTTTCTTGTAAAAAATGTGGAGGAAATGGACATAATAGTAAAACATGTAAAGGAAAAATTTGTGGCAATACCAGAGCTCCAAAACTTCCAGTAAGTGTTGTTATGCATTTTTAATTTGCTGCTTGGAAGAATATCTTGTAATTATACATTTTAAATTGCTTCTTGGAAGAATGTTTTGTTATTATGCATTTTTATTTGTTGCTTGGTTGAATGTGTTGTTATGTTCGGTGATTGTTGCAGATTAAAAAGTTAGAACCACCCCAACAACTCCAACAACTCAAGATAGAACCACCCCAGCAACTCCAACAACTCAATCTTCACAAGATCATGTAAGATAGATGCCTACCCCTACAACAAATCAGCCAAGATCCATCCCAACAACAAGTGGAGATAGAATTTCCCCTAGACCAACTCCAACAACAACTCAACCTTCACAAGGCTATGTTGTTAGATGGATGCTCACCCCCATACATATGTGTCAAGAGAGTTGTGCCATCCAATCATCTCTAAGGATCGACCATCCTTGACTCTGTTAACACTAATATTTAACACTTGCTTCATTTTTTGTGTATTGACCAAACAAGTTTTTTGTTTGACTTACTTTAGTCGGTCACTATTTGATGTTTCACATACTATATATATGATGTATGGATTACATTCCAAAGTTAAAGATATGATTATGTATTGGTCAAACATTATGTGATGTATAGATTACATTCTAAACTTAAAGAATTTATGATATGAAGTATTTTTGTGTTTTTTTAACTTGTTTAATTCATATTCTTGTTTACTGACATTATTACTTCACCATTACATATTTCTTATTCTTATTTAACAATAACTTAATACGAAAAGATATTTTTCATTACATATTTCGAATTAATTTCCTTTCAAAAATTGGCGACATAACATCAAAGACATCACCCTTCAAATTACTAAAAACCTAGGTAACAAACATCCCGTTTGAAAAAGAAACTTTTCAGCACTCTAAATCTCAAGCAACCACCACCACATTTCTACTATATTAGTAGAAGATTACTCTTAAAATGAAACCCAACAAAAGCATAATACCCAGAAGAGAAATAACAAGAACTCTTTCGTTCTTCCTTTTTTTCTCCATATCAGCAACCCTTCTAAAAAGACCAAAATTAACAACTTTTGATCTAGGGTTCACCGGTGGATCGTACCACCAAAAACATTACAACCCCTTACCCCTTTTTCATATTTTCCACAACCCCAAAATCTCTTACCTAGATTTTCATCAGTTTAACTTGTTAGCATAGAACGAGCTCCACAGAAGCACACCTGAGCCAAATTTGCATCCATTGTCGTCTACAACCCCTCAAGAGTTTTTCCTCTCCACAAAATGATAAGAAAGAACAGAGAAAATAGTAAGATGAAAAATCTAAGGTTCCTTTCAATGCCTAAATTTTTCACATGATTTTTTCATTTTGTCTATGTTGTATTCTAACGTAGAGGCTTATTAAAACCAACGTGGAATAACAAAATACAAAAAAATTCACGTCAATCTCGCCGTTTCGTTTCTAACAACTAGTGATCTTTTTGGCTCTATTTAAATAGTACAGTGGCAAAGCTGCCACAATTTTAAAAGTAGTGGTCTTTTTGAATCCTAGACCTTTTTTACGTGGTCATTCATGTAGCTTACCCCCTATTTATTTTACTTTTTCAACTTAGTATATAGTGTCAAATGACCCCTTACACATTTAGATATACTTATTATAATATTCCTTTTTATTCTATTTTTTCAAATAAGTATTTATTTTATCTAATACAAATATTTATATATACATATATTTAGGACAGATCATGGATATTAGATCTAAAAAATCATATCGAGTTACAAGTCGAACGAATTCAAATCTAGTTAGATATAGGTGGGTAAGTTTAATTTTCGGATCAAGTTCGAATTGACCGAAAACCCAACTGCACCTTTGCTGCCGACTTCTAAAGGGGATTCCTGGAAGCCAAAGGTTTGGACATAATCAAAAGCTTGATTGATTTCAGTTCAACAATAGTTATAATGGAATCAAACTCTGCAGACATTTTTTTTTGCATGCTTGAAAACAAAAGCACCAACTCCGTACATTGTCTTTACAAATGAAAAGGAATCAACAAAACCCGAATCATTACAACACCTCAACCTCAACAAAAAGAGCATATCAAGAAAAAAGAATAATCTCTCTGCTAATTTACAACTGTAAGGGAAAATGAGATCACCGTTGTCAAATGGGACTCGATACTAAACTCCTTCGAAGTTGACAACGATGGAAAGAATTCGAGATGCATTGAGCCATTAACTGAATGGAAATTAGGGTCTGCAAAAAGGTATCAAATGAAACTACCTTTCTGGCTTTTGCTGACACCTGCAAAGGAACTTCTGCTTTCCAAATATTTCTATCCAGGTCAATGGAGGAGATCAAGACACTGCGTAGTGTGATTAAATGTTCGTCCTCGGGATTCTTCATTGAATCACCACTAACATACCATGTAACAGTTCCTGCCATGTAAAGGCTCTATCATAAGCTTAACCGAAAAGGGTAACATGCAAACAATGTACTGTTATTTGCTTGAATGATCGAAAAAGATTTTCAAATAGGTTGTAAGTTTAAGTAACTCCTGGTTTGCAGTCTCACTTTACACTCCTAGAAAATACCCGAGTATAGCGAGTAGCTCAAATATCATATAAAGTTTCATCATGTATGGTTATCAGGTACACACAAGGGAAACAAATGCCATTTTGCTCAACCAAGGTAACAATACATAGGTAAATGGTAATCTTACCTCCATGGATATGTCTACCAAACTATCCAAAAGGCACATATTTCAAACAGACAGTCCCAAGGAGTAAGAAAATGGATTTCTTGTATACTATTTTTCATGGCACTATAAATCATATTCCATATAAGATCAATAGATAACTCTTTTAGCAATTTTAACTCGAGCTGTTTGGAACAGTAACAAAACAAAAAATGATACAAACCAGAGGAAAATTACTTAACAACAAATGATGGTTCATGTGACGTCTCTTCGAAATCTATCCCAAATAAGAAGCAAAATGAATAGTTGAATATAAATTCTACACGTACCTACTGGAGGAGGAGGTTCGTGTTATCTTGTTGCATGAAGAATGATTGTTCCAGAGAGCACAGTGATGAATCCACAAATCTCAGAGGCAATACTGCTCGCATTTTGACCTGACCAATCCTTTAAAAAGAACAAGATGCAACACTCAGTTTGTGCTCATTAGTTCCTCTAGTTGTTGATAAATTGCAACTTCAATTTGGCGTCAGAACCAAATTTAAGAAGGATGAATTAAATAATTTACCTTGAACATGATTACACTAGCGATAATTGTCAGAGTTGTGAACATCACATAATATACTGGAGAAACAATTGCGGTATTGAATGTATCCAAGGCCTATAACAAAGAGAGAGACACATGATTCACACACAAAAGACAACCAGCCATCTACTTGAAAGATGAAATGCAGAATTCGATCAACAGAGGTGATACAGTTCAACCTAGCCTCACTTGGATGGATGGTGAAGTCAAGGTTGTACCTTTGATTGTTTCGGTCTAGGAAAGCAACAAGTATCTTGCACAAACAAGAAAGCTCAAAAAAATAGTTAAATGGAAGTAATGAAATAGAAAGATAAATATGGCAGCGGAAAATATATATAAGTTGGTGATATGTTTAAAGGAAATGATGAAGTATGGTAATGGAAGTAGAATGAAGGTGATGGTGATGAATATGAAAAGTAGTATCTCAAAGAAGACTCAAAGAAGAACCAATGTTAAAGAACAAAGACCCAGACTTTATATTGTTTCTTTAAGGGATGGTAAACAAGGACTTTGACCCATTATCTATAAAGAGATAGAAATCAAAAGTATCAGGGTGACATAGATAGGGGTGACGCCACAAGCATAAGCTTGATAAGTCGATAAAGTTCACTTAAGAACTAAAGAGAGAAACTCTCACAAATATTTGATTAAACAAAGTAAGTTGGTTTCTTTTACAAATGAATGGAAAGCTATTTATAGGCCTAAGAGTGCATGGTGTGAATACAAAACATTTAATGAGTGAACCTTCATGGATGAGTGTTCATACTTTAAGTAGATACAAAGCATGGCTTAGGTGAATGAATTTTGATGAATGGATATTCATCTTTTAATGGAATACATCCTTTGGCCGAATTCATCTCACCTTGTGTGAACTTGTTGATTTGTCTTCTATGGATGAATGTTCATGAATGTATCTTGGCTGAAATTCTTCCCCCTTGTGTGAACATGACTATTTGGCTTCTTGCATGAATGGATGAATTTAAAAGCCTTTGAATGAATCCTTGCACCTCCTCACAAATGTTCTGATTCATTTTAATATTCTTTTCTCGTCCATGCATGTCTTCATTAATTCCTCCCATGCATAAGTCCTTTGAAGGAGATGAACGGTTGCAAATCCTGTATTAATTTCCAACCTGCACTGTCTTCAGTAATCTGGACATATCTCAAGCTCCTGATATCAGATTAATGTGATTAAAAATGCGTTGGAAAGCTACGAGATAGGGGATTAAATGTTAAGAAGACTTCATCACCCAAAGATGCTTGGAACATGTTCAAAAATGTAGATCAATCTGACTGACGTGAACTGTCCAACCAACTCTTCAATTGCCTTTAGTCTTCTTAGCATCCAATGAACCTAGACAAAGTATGTAAACAAATAATTAGATAGGAATTGAGCCATGATAATTATGAATGCATGCTTCCACCTATGTTAATAATGCAAATGAGCTAACTATGAATGCATATGCATTGAATGAGTTATATAAAGATGTGAATTAATAAGTCATGCATGAATATCATATATTATACATATAAATGACAGCATATAATATTCAAGCAAAAATTAAGAATAAGATAAACATATTCACCTGACATGTAATGCATAAATGAGTAAATAAATAATAAAATAAGGCAAGACTCCCTTAGAATCATCTTGGAAGAACTTCAAAGTTGTGAGCATGTTTTGTTTGAACTTGGTGGTCGGTAGGATCACATCAAGAGGATACATTAGAAGAAGCTACACATTGAAAGTAAATTTCTTCGTACAAATATTCAAAAATCGTAAGCAGTTCTGAGATCAAGAATTGCATGCTTTCAATTAAATGTTTTCATCTACATGAAATAATTAATATATCACATGACAAAGTATGCTAGCTACATAAGTACGGGAAATGTTTTTCCTTGCATCATAATCACAGGCTTGAATGTAGTTGAATAAGAAGATTATATTTTAGAGGAACAGACAGCCACCAAGGCATAGAGAATCAATAAGACTAACCTTGTTAAGGTAATTTAATTGCATGATGACACAGATTGCAGCAACAGTAAGAAAAAACCAAGTTTGAGGATAAACTATCTGATTTATCCCGTCTAATGTAAGCTTTATAGCAATTCCAATGGCTTTGATGCTTACAACCTGCGACAGTACCAAGGTATTCTTTTATATAGTGCATAGAGCATGGTAACGCTACACTGGTGCTATTCAAAATTGTTATAGAAATTAATAAGGATGTCTACATACCGTAAGAGAACCCATTAAGGAACATATTCCCAAATAAACTAGTATGTTTGTCTGCCCGTAACGAGGTTCAAAATGCAAAACCAAAGCTAAAACTACTGAAAGTGTAGCTGCTACATAAATTAGAAAAGCTGCCAACAGAAACGTGAAGAAAAGCAATGACTAATTACTGTGACGAGTGATGAATAAAAAATATGAAGGGAAAGACCATACTTGGTTGTGTCGCCAGTGCCCAAATTTCTCGCACAGAACTTGGAGTATGCTCTTGTGGTGCATGAATGACAATAACCACTGAACCACCAATGCAGGTAACACACCCAACAATCCCCATTTTCTGAATTCGCTCCTTCAACATAAAGTGTGCCAGACAAGCACTGTTCAAATTTATCAAGCATGAGATTTAATGAAATGAGATAAATAGCTTCCAATCAAATCAAAAGCAGCTACCGCAAAAAAAAGAAGCTTACCTCACAATTATACTTAATGCCCCAAGCGGGGTAACTAGAACTGCAGGAGCATACACATAAGCAACGAAATTTGCAACCTCCCCAACAATCACTATTTGTACAAATTCACCAAAATAAAACTCAATAACCAATTTAAGAATGAATAAGATTTGGACTTATATTGGAGAAAAATATAGATTTAGAGATTTTTAAAGCAAGTAATATACTTACTAGTTATCATGCCTGCCCACCAAAGTGGCTCCAGTAAGTAGGTATAACCCCCAACGCCTATGTTATACCATACAAAATAAAAAAGAAAGTCAAATACAGTGATAACCCTATCCATTATTATATTGCACAATCCACAAGCCGCCTGTTGATCAAGGGAATACAGTACTTAAGAATCAAAATCAAATTAAAACTTACAACTTTACACAACACAAAAATTAGGTTTATGTCGCTAAAAACTCTCTGAAGTTGGGAGAAATTCTTTACTGATCAATGAAATCAAATAGCATGAAATATGAATTGATTCAAACAATAGCGAATTATTATTTAAACTTCCTTTTAAACTAAAGAATTTATATCTGAAAATGAATGTCCATATTCCATATTTTCAATAGTAAGGTACTAGTTAAATGCATTCACGATTCATATCCATTGAGCTAATCAAATTACTAAATCCCATTGCTTCAGTAAGAAAAAAAACGAACGATTCAAATCTAAATTAAGCAAAATAAAACCTTCATTGAGTCAAAATTGACAGCAATAGTAACGCACAAAATCACGGACTAAAATAACTTTTTGAGAGAGAGAGAGAGAGAAAGGTGAAGAAGAAGAAGAGACCTGCGCGACCCGAAGCCCCAGGCACGCTTGAGCCCTTTCTTCTTCAAAATAAAACTGGAACCAATAAAGGCGCTAGAAGCCACTGCTAGTACCAATCCCTTGGAATTATCCGAGAATCCCATCTCTTTCTGTCTTGGATCACATCAAATCAACGTTTCAGTTGTTTTTTTCCGACGATCAAAATCGGAAGCTGTGGAATCGAATTCCCGCCAACCGGATTTTGACTCAGCAACGTAAAAAGCATTTTAGTAGAGAGATTTAGTTTAGCTGAGAGTTTGTTTCCAGAAAGTAAAAAGAAAAACAAAGTATTAGAGATCTAATCTAACAGACCCTCTTTCTCTGGTGACAATCCAAGCAACAGCTCTTAGCATTTTTCAATTCATGTTTTATACATTTTTTTTACTTTTTCAGTTCAGCCGCGTGTTTTTTTGACGAAAAACTACTTGTGGTAGGTACGGCGGCCAACGTAAGCAGGTTAAATGATCCTCTGCTTCACACGTTTTTAACTAACATTCACTTGACCTTTCTGTTTTCGTTATTAGGATTACGATTTTATAATAAGCTTCAAAGAAATTATCTACCTATCTTAATTTTGTTCTCATGTGGTTTTATTATCGAAAGTATGACGGTAAATGAGACGAGATAGATTGTGAGTTATTTACGATAGATTCATTCAAAAGTCAATAAATACTCGGCTCGAATTGATTCGATTTGAGTTCTTAACGAGTCGAAACGAACTACTTGATACTTGACTCGAAAAGTTATTGAATAACTCAAAAATATAAAATATTAAGATTTTTTTAAAAAATAAGTTATTAATAATATTAACATTTATGTGTTGATTTTTTTAAATGTATTTAAGGTTCACGTTGAGTTTGAGTTTGAGGCTTTAATCGAGTTAAGTATAAGATTTTTTTTCTCTTTTCGAGCTTTTACGAGTTTCAGTTCATGATCTCAAGTTTGAGTCGAGCTTGAAAATTCATAGGCTCATGAATTTTCAAGTCGAGTCGAACTCAGCAATACTTGAGACGACTCATTTATAACCCTAATTGGAAGCTACTGAATAAGCGAAGTGACGCTACTGCCCTTTCAAAAGGCGTATAGTATGTGTCGGTTGAAGATGGCCTATCATAATGAAATGGGTAGAAAATGTAATTCCATGAAAAGTATTTGACTGGTCACCATAGTTGAATTCTTTATATATTTATTGATATTTTATTTATTAATTAATTAATTTAAATTGAGTATTACAGAGGTAAGAACAACTCTTCTATTCTAATTTGCTCCATTCACAGACATCTGAATTTGAATCCTTGATTTTGCTTAAAGAATCTAATACTCATCTTACTAGAACAACTTATTGTTCTTGTTTTAATTTAAAATTTTATAGAGTAAACTATATCATTTCTTACTCAATTATCTTCTCACTTCTATTTTAGTTATTAAAATTTAAAAACTTTCAATTTAATCATTCAACTTTCAATTTAATCATTCATGTTTTGATCACTTCATCGTTAATTATTTAGTAATATTATGATATGACAACTAACACCAAAGTGACATAATTTTAGATCTCTACGAAAAATTAAATCTAAATCAAATAATATTGTTTAAATATAAATAGAAAAATTAGTTTTTTTTCTTTTTTCTTTTCTCTACATTTCTTTTATCAATGTAAATGAACCCATATTTTGGTCACCATGCGGGTCGTGGTTCTTGTTGGTATTGCTTAAGAGAGCATGTTATCCTACATTTAGATGAAAAATCCCATTGGGAATGATATTTAAAGAGACTCTCTTTCTTTCCTTGGTTGAATGTGGCTATACAACTCCTTTACTCGCTCACCGTTATCATTTAATTTGGTTTGGATCGTCAAAACAGATTTTTATCTTTTTAAAGAAAATTCGGCAGAATTTCTTTAAAGAATTTTTTTTTTCATAAAATTGAAATGAGAAAAATAAAACTTGAACAAAATGATCGGTCCTTGATTTTATGGGCTTGTTTCAACGAGTTTATTAATTGTAATAGACATCAATTTTATTTGATAATTGTTGTAATTCGTAATTATTTTGTTGATTAATTACGATAATTATAGCAGGAGTTACGGATTATTAGATGAGCTGCTATGTGATTGCTAATAATCTTACTAATGGAGCAATAGGGGTGCTTAACGAGTTGTGTAGCTCGAACTCGATTCGGTCAAAATTCGGTAAATACTCGACTCGAGTTGGATCGAATTAAACTGAACTCGATTCGAGACCTTAACAAGATGAACAGAGCAAAGTCTAACTCGACTCGATATCGAGCAGCTCGTTAATTTTTTAAAATATATTTTTAGTAATTACTTCAAATTATTTCATTCAAAAAATAAATTTAAATGATAATTATTAATTTATTAATAAACAATAAAAACTAATAAGTTAACTAATCTATTATTTTTAATAAATAAAATAATATTATTAATTAATAATATTATTTTAATACAAAAAAACCCAACCCTAATATCCTCATATTAGGGGGTGTACAAATCCGAGTACCCGGGTTTTTGGGTACCCGAAATGCCAAGTACCCGAATCTTCGGGTAATTGATTTCTCGGTCCGTGTCCCGACCCGGATGTTGCGGGTACCCAAATACCCGATTTTTTCTTCAAATTATTAATTAAAAAAACACAAATTTAAATGTTCGAAACTTCGAATTACATAGTCCAACATCAAAACATAATTAAAAATATTAGTCTAACATCCATACATAATTAAAAAATGTCATGTTAGCATCATTGTTCTTTTTTAAATATGGGTAACAGAATAAAAACATAATGTTAGGTATAATTTTGAAAAAAAAAAATCGAGTGACCAAAACATAAATTAGATAATATATAATACCAAATAGGTAGTTTACCCTAAATAATAATTGAGTGACCAAAACATAAATTAGATAATATATAAGTGACCAAATAGGTAGTTTACCCTAAAAAAAACTCTAGCCGGGTACTCGGTTAATTCAATTTTGTGACCCGAGCCCTACCCGGGTAATTTAAGGTCGGGTACCGAACCCTGTCGGGTAATTTTTTTAGAAAATTGCCCGACTTTTTTAGGTTCGGGTCGACGGGTCGGGTCAATCGGGTCGGGGTATTTTTACACACCCCTACCTCATATAGTATTAGTAAATTTCTTTTTTAGTTAAAAAAAACAAGGTAATCTTTTTAGTGAGCTTAACGAGCAATGAGTCGAGTTGAACAAGAAATTTTTTAACGAGCATTAATCGAGCACAATTTTAACGAGCTTAACAAGCAACGAGTCGATTCGAGCAACAAAATTTTGTTAACGAGCAACAGTCGAGCACTGCCCAATCCCAATTGGCTCGCTCGATAATCACCCCTAGGAGCAATGTACATGGACGAGATTCAGTCTAGATATAGTCTTTTATTTCAGCTATTATAACAACTATTTCATCCATAATTAAAATTGATTTATATCCGAACGAATTTTAAAATTTATTTTCAGTTGGTTGTTGTTTTGTCTTAAGGTGAGGCCTATAAATACCAAGGCTACTTCTCATTTTCAATCATCTAAATTAAAGCAAAACATTTTGTTCTCTACAAAAATACTTCCTTTTAAAATTGTTTTCGACGTTGTGATTTAAAGAGAATAGTAGTATCATCGATGTCCATTCTGATTTTTGAGTGTACAGATATTTGGAGAGATCGTGTTAACCTCAAGGGAAGACCGCCTACTAAGCGATTACACATGTTGGTAAAATAGACTGCTACAAAACGAGGCATTAGCTTTGACTGGAAAATATATACTGAAATATATAAATAAATAAATAATCAATTAACTGTGTCGCGGTATTAACCACTGTCTTAGAAACGAATTCGCCTCGATGTGTGTAATCGCTCCAATAGGTGGATCGTCCCCCGAGGTTAACACGACCGCTCCAAATTTTGTACACCCGAAACCGGAGTGGACTGATGGTGGTATTGCACTTTTGATCGGAAAGCACGTAGAGAACAACTTTAGAAAATACTTGGAGAGTGAATTCTAATTGTAGAGAGTGTATTGAGAATCTGAATTCAGCTCTCTATTTATATGCTAGAAGTAAGGGTAAATTTGTCCAACAAGAAAATCAAATTAAATTTGATTTTAATTCTGAAATTAAACCCTTTTCTAACTCCTGAAATATCTTGATGAATCCATCTCAAAAAGAGTCTAGGTTCATTGCATAAAAACTCAACAGTTATAACTCAAATTAAATCATATAACTCCTGTAACTCCTGATATTAACAACTTGTCTCTCCCATGAACAAAGTTGGAAATTAGTCCAGATACATCTTAAATTCTGATTTAATTTAGAAAATTAACTGTCTTAGTAGCCTATAAATATCAGATGAATCTTTCACATTTTTCATTTAATATTTCAGAGAAAAATTCCTTACGAATTTTCTCTAAAAAGATAATATCCGTACAGACGTGTCAAAGACACATATTACCATGCCTTGTTCTCTATCACTCAACAAGGAATGGAGAATGTGAACCTTAAATACCATTCTCACTAGTGTTTCCAACTCTATGTGGGATTGAGCATTACCAACATTCCCCCACTAATGCGAAAGAATTCTTCTGAAACTCAAAAACAATCTTTCCAGAAGAGAAATAGTGAGATTAGTTGCTTAAGACTAGTGAACGTATCTGGAACTAGTACATAGTGATGATGAGCAATCCTTCTCTTAGATAAGTAAAACTAGTCTTGAACTTTCTAAGATGGGGGTAAACTCATAACATACAACTAACCCCTTCATCCACCTGAGTCCTCGATGTGTAAGATATATATGCAAAAGTATATACTTGGCCATCTTACCTAAGGATTTTAGTAAGTGTGCTAGAAAAGTGGCCCACATTTTTCATAGAAGGCGGCTAACCCTTATCACTTACATAGGTTATTTCATCAAGTTTATCTCGACATAAACCACCATTAACAGAGATATGAAATAATTAAGAGCTTTTATAATAGCTCAACCTCACAAAGGGTATGGTGACTTTCTTCAAGTTCATTATTAATGAACCACCCAAACTCTGGGACAAGAAGTCATTAAGAATAAATATTCAACCTCATTTATCGGTAAATTCAATAAGTCCTTCTCACTAGAGCCATCCAAATACTTGGATTTGAATTTATTAAGAGTTTAACAAACTCAATCTTTCTATCGGTAAGTTCATTATTTCCTTCTCATTTAGGACTACCCACTCACTCTGGGTTATGAACTTATTAAGAATATATAATCAAACAAAATCGGTAAATTCATCAAGTCTTTCTCACTAAGACCACCCAAAACATGGACTATGAATTTATTAAGAGCAATTAAGCTCATCCTGGGCATGTACATTATTCATCATAGGGATAGGTAGTAGGAATGTGCACTATGAGTCTTTCCATGGTTTCGTTTGACCACATGGAACTTAGATAACTAAGTTGGGTATCCACCATGAATTCCTCAACCAATGGGCTTTAAGCCCATCCCCTCGACGAATCTAGGACCAAGTATCTGCTAGGTTCCTTTCCAACTTCACATACTCTAAAGAGAGCACTCCATTCTTTATTAAGTGTCTAACTGATTCATGCCTTATGTGAACGTGTCTTTTCTTACCATTGTACAAATATTGTAGCTTACGAATCACATAACAAAGAAATTGGAGTAGTCGGTCTTCCCCACAACGGAATATATGCTAACAAGCTTCTGATCCACTCGGCTTCTTTCCTAGCTAGGTCAAGAGCTATAAACTCAGACTCCATGGTAGAACGAGCAATACAAGTATGCTTTGATGATTTCCATGAGATTGTTGCTCCACCTAAAATAAAAACATACCCACTCGTAGAGCATACCTCATAATTATCAGAAACCCAGTTGGCATCACAATATCCTTTAAGTACAGCAGGATAGCCAACAAACTCAAGTTTCCAATCCAAAGTACCCTTAAGATACTTCAGTAAGCGTCTAAGAGCAATCCAGTGTTCACCACTCAGATTATGAGTATATCTACTTAGTCTACTCACAGTATAAGCAATATCAGGCCGAGTATAGTTCATTAGGAACATTAAGCTTCCGATTAATTTAGCATATTCTGTTTGGGAAATGCTACTTCCTTTATCTTTAAAGAGATATATGCTAGGGCCACAAGGGTTCGAACATGGACGACATCAAAACTGTTAGATTTCTTTAACACTTTCGTAATATATTGTGCTTGACTTAAAGAAAATCCCTTTTCAATTTTGATAATTTTGACTCCTAAGATTACATTGACTTCTCCCAGATCCGTTATCTCAAATTTAGTGGACAAGAAAATGTTTGTTTTGTTAATGGACTCAATATTAGAACTAAAAATCAACATGTCATCAACATACAAAACTTATGATGATGCAATCAGTACCAAACATCCTTGAATACTCACAAGCATCTGAACCATTCACAACAAAACCAAAACTAAGTATAATTTTATGAAATTTCTTATACCATTATTCTCATATAGATCTCCTTATCTAGCATTCCATTCAGAAATGCAGTCTTAACATCCATTTGATGTACTCACAACTTATGAATGGAGCCTAGTGCAAATAATGCACGGATCATTGAGATGTTCATAACGGGAGAGTAAGAATCAAAGTAGTGTAAAACAAACTTTGAAGTGAACCCTTTGATAATTAGCCTTGCCTTGTACCAATGGATCAAACAATCTGGTCTCATTTTCTTTTGGAGGATTCATTTGCTACAGATTGGTTTAAATCCTCTAGGCAAGTTAACTAATTCTCAATTATGATTAGACATTACCGATTCTAGTTCATCATTGATAGCACTTTTCTAGAAACTAGCATCGATATATGTTATAGCTTTTTTAGGATCCTCATATAATATTTAAGCTATATGATCAGAAAGAGAGTCTAAATCATTTATCTCAGAAATAAAGGAAGTGATAAAATTTGGTCCAAATAGCCTTTTACTTCTTCTAGGCTCGAAATCAATTTCTTGAGAAGACCTAGCAAGAATACTAGAAGAAGTGGATAAAATATTTTCTATTCGAGTTTATACATTTAATCTACATTTTAAGACACCCCCACATTTCTAACATTTTAGGATATCCATAAGTGTCTTGTAAAACGTGTAAACAAATACTCAATCATATTAGGGTAAAGTTTGTTATGAGTTTTAGCCATAAAACTATATTTTAACAAACTCAAGTTTTGTTTACACATAATTATATTCTCAAAGTTTTGAGATGTTACAAATCATTAAGATTAAAATGCATAAACCAATATGAAATTCTTTATGACTTTTCCTCATTCAAAATGAATTTCGATTTTTTCCTAACATCCGGAAAAATGGTCTCAAGTTTAAAACAAGAGATTTTAGCACAAATTCTGAAATAAATAATCTATTTTCTTTCCTTTACTTAGGAAAACCACTTAAAGAGATTTAATAGCTACAACATACTTTTAGTAGCAATAGATTCTATCATATTCTCATTTATGATATTCAACATATTAGCCTTAAAGAGATCATCAAATATTTTATTTACTATGACTAAATTTGGTATTCCACTCAACCAAATTAATCTCCACTCTTTTAACTTCTGCACTAAGTTTTAAGAGTTTTTATCTTATCATAGTATTGGAATAGTGAGCATAGTAATGAACAATGCACCAGGTAGGTTTCTATGAAAGAGAGGTAGTGCACTAGGCACGCTTAAGTACCAAGTCTTCATAGAACCAATCCTAGACATGCACTTTCATACTCATCACACTAGTTTCCAATAAATCATTTATAGATTTTCTCTTTCTTAAGGCTTCTTAAAGAATTATGCTTGATACTTTTAATCAAAATAGTATCTTATTAAGCATATATATTTTTGGGCTCACACTACTGTCTTAGCCTTAGTAGTACTACCTTAGTCTTTACTAGTGATTTTATCTCATTTCATAGTATCCACTAAGTGTTAAAGACTATCTTAAAGGCTCATGCAATCTAATTCATGTATTTAAAAGACATGAATTAACAAGCAACAAGTCTAAATAATCTGACCTCGTAGGTAGAATCACAATTCCAAATAGACTTGTTCACCATGCATACAACATCATTCTTTTCATCATCGTTTTTAATAAGCATGATCCCAAAAATCCATCGTGACAATCACTTCATCTGAATGAACATCTCTTTTGTATCTTCTGAAGTCAAATGAAGAATATACATGGTTAATCACGAAATTAATTTACTAACAATAATTAAAATAGTTTATTGATAGTGACAAGATCCTTATCTTTAGGATTTGGCTTCCTTATCTTCAAGAAATTATGGAATCAAATCGAATTTAACAACTATTCGATTTTTGAGAATCTTCTCATTTCAGCTTCACCAGCTCCATACTTCTCCAAAAAATTACACATTTCCTGTATCTTTACAAATTTCTCAAAGAAAATTATTAGTACGGTAAAAAATATATATAATTATTTTCACCTTAGTTTTCAGGAACTATATTACCCCCACACAGGAATAATTTATTTTATATCTCCACATGAACCAAATATCCCACATGCATTATCTCTTGTACCCATATATCAACTATCATCAATTTATAATTTAATGATGTATTAATTTAATATTAATCTCTCAATCCACATGATTAATATATTATTGTGCATTTATAAATGCAAACGTCAAAAACATTTATTCACATAAGTTACCATTATAAATTTCATAACTTATGTACAATCATTCTTCAAGGCAATGAAAATACCACTAATATTCAATTATGGTAGGTTTGTAACGTTGGCAATCTATATATATAAAATGTATATACCTAATTTTACACCTTTAATTTAAATCAACCGTTTCAATGATTAAAGCATAACAATAATGCCATAATGATTATAAAACATTCATGCTTACCAATAAATACCATTTATTAAAATGATATTATAGTTCACATTGTTCTTAAACGCAAAGTATATGTACATTTCAAAAGCCATATTAATACACATTAACCAAAAGAAATGTGCATATTTGTGTGTAACTGCATGAATTAATGCATGTAAATGCATTGACATGGCATTTTTGTCATTTCAAGAAATAATTGCATTTTTTAATATGAGCATTATTCAGATATTGCATTACTTACAAACGTTTAAAAATGTTTCTAATAAGTATCGTATTAATCATTCTTAATATTAAGAATGCAATCGTACTAACCTTTTGATATTTTTATGCCATATATCTTTAATTCCCTTGTCTCATGTTCAGTCTTTGGTTTCTAGGGCATTTCAACTTTTACCATTTTACTTATACTTTGGCAGAATGCATGTAACTGTGAAATATTGAAAGAAAGCTTATGTTTAGGTTGAACAACACTGACTCTTCAAGGCCTCCATTGATAACCCAGATTTTGAGTCCAACACGAGCAAATAATAGACAAAGCCATAATCGAAAAGCAGCAAAAAGAATTCGTTTCTAAATTGTTGGTAAAATAGACTGTTGCAAAACGAGGCATTAGCCGCTTTTTGTCACCATTTCAACTAATATTTTCTTTTAAAAGAACATCGATGCCAGTGCACTGGGAACATTTCGAAGAGGCATGAAATACCATGGCAAAAAATTTTGGAAATAGAGATCTTCGATGTATGGGGAATATACTTCATAGGATCTTTCCCATCCTCCTTTGGTGATCTTTATATCCTTCTGGTAGAGGACTACATTTCCAAATGGGTGAAGCCGTGGAAACTTCAAGAAATAAATCGAAGACTGTGCTCAAGTTTCTCCACAAGAACATATGCACATGATTTAGAGCACCTAGAGCCATCATAAGTGATGAAAGTTCCCATTTTGACAACAAATTGATTTCTAAGGTATTGTAGAGGTATGGGGTAAAACATAAAATTGCTACAGCATATCACCCCTAAACCAATGGGCAGGCTGAGGTATCTAACCGTGAGAACAAGCAGATTCTTTAGAAAGTTGTGAACCCAAAGAGGAAAGATTGGTCCCCTAAGGTGGATGAAGCACTATGGGCCTATTGCACAACGTTCAAGACTCCATTAGAGATATCACCTTCAAACTCGTATATGGCAAGGTATGCCATCTACCCAATGAGGTAGAGCATAAAACCTACTGGGTGATAAAGAAGCTCAACATGGATGCCCAACTAGTTGGTGAGAAAAGGTTGCTAGAGCTAAATGAAATAGAGGAATTCTCTGCCCAAGCTTATGAGAGTTCCCACCTATACAAGGAGAAGACTAAACGTTGGCACAACAAAAATCCTTTGCCAAGGCAATTTCATGAAGTCCAACAAGTCCTCATGTATAATTCTAAGCTAAAACTTTTCAAAGGCAAACTCAAGTCCCGATGGTCTGGACCCTTCCAAGTGCATCACGTGTACCTGCTTGGAGTCATGGATATCAAGAACTTGGATGATGGGTCAATCTTTAAGGTGAATGACCAATGCTCAAGATGAATAATGGAGCCCTAATCCTGTGAGACAAATCATCACTTCTCCTTCATGATGTTTCAGAGTTTGCACCACTTACCCTTTAAAAATTTTTGCTACAACATTTTATTTTCTTAGTTTGTATATAAATAATTTGTTTTAACTTAACCGTTTCCTTTATTTATTTTTCAGTTTGATTTTAACTTTAGTTTGTTTTTTAGTTCACTGTTGAACATGTGGCGGCATAGGGAGAAAGCTTAAAGATGAGACAAAGAAACCTTAGGAACTTTTTGTGTTTAGGCGGCAAAAAGAATGAGAGGAAAAAAGTTTAATTTTAAATATTTAAACTAACCAAACAAATCTTTTCATTTATTTCTTTCTTTTTCTCTCTTCCACTTTTCATTAACTCCCCCATTACTTTTTACTTTCCTAAAACTTCCTTGTCATGTCTAATATCTTTCCATTTTCTTCTATTAAACCGTCTAAACCCCTCTTCTTATATACTTTATTCTTTTTATTTCCTTAGCTTTTGCTTTCAACTTCTTCTTCTCCGCTCGAAACTACCATAGCCACCGTCAAAAGTTTTCATTATTTTCTTTGTATTATTTTGTTACAACAGTGATGGCCCATTGCAAGAATGTGTCCGGCTGGACATCTTTCTCTCAACCACCACCATAAACCCATGTTGAAAATTTCAAAGACGACACGATGAAGAAGAGATTCCATCATATAAAATGCCAGATGGTTTACTTAGGACAGGGTTTTTTTTCCAAAGGAATGTGAAGTGGCTTTTATCCTTGAAGTGATGGATATTATAGAAAAACACAAATGGGAAGTTTTTGCTAAATATTCAGGTGAAGTGGCACCGGCCATGGTTAGGTAATTTTATGCTCATCTTATTACTCCTTCAAAACATGGAATTTGGGTGAGGGGCAAGAAGGTTTGTTTTACTTCAACGGCCATCAACTGCTTCTTCAAATTTGAGAACATGCCCAACCACCATGTGAAATTTATTACTGAGGCAGATGCGTAAACCTAAAATGGACTCTTAGAAGATCTTTGTTTCCAAGGGATACAATGGAAGGGCAAAACCCCAAGCAAATAGAGCTTGGAAAAGAGTTGTCTTAAGCCACAAACAAAGGTATGGAATTATTTCCTAAAAACTAGACTAATTCCTACCTCGCACCATACTACTGAGTCACTACAGCAGATGCTTCTTCTGTAGTCCATAATAATCGGGCACCCTCAACAAGTGTACAACTATATCAAGAGGAAGAAGGGCACACTGATCTTTACAAACTTGATCACTGCCATATTCCAAAAGAAGAAGGTAGTGAAATAGATGTTCGAATAGATTATCCCAACAAATGCTAGCATAACTAAGGAGAAGATTCTTGAACTGATGGGCTTCGATGAGGAAGGCCCCAAAGAGACCCTTGAGAAGGGTGCAAAAATTGTTACCACGGTAAGAATGGCGGTCATAGTGGCATCTTCTCAAGAGACGAAAGAACGTGTGAAGAAGCTGGAGAGCAAGATGCATACCTTATTCGATTATGTGAGGCAACGAGATGAGGTTATATCCTCATTTTTCAAGGAGATCATATCGCTAAATAATGGTAACTTCCCTCTTTTCCCTGATGAGATTCTGAAGAAGAAAATTACTACAATAATATTTACTGAACGGGACCCGCATGCCACAGTACAAAAGTCCAGACTGATGGAGACCCCGCCCGTTGAAAAAGAACCCGATAAAGATGGCCAGTCCACTACCATAGAGCCCATGATGCCCTTCTATGCAAAGCTGCTTACAACCCGCCCTTCATCCAAAGTTGAGGATGAAGAAAACTTTTTGCCAGAGAAAAAAAGTACCACCTATCAAGATGAAGCCAACCAAGCCAATGAGCAAGTATTACCAGAATATGTTGAGGAAAACAAGGAGATTCCTCACTCACCTGTTCTATCATAGCCTGTCGACCTATCCATGACATGAAATCATTTGAAGAGGTTAGTCGGGTGCGTATGTGAAACTTCTGTCATTTCGTTTAAAGCCATAACACCAACAAATACCACCAAGAAGACTGAACTTGTAGAACCCACTCCTAAGAAGAGATGCACTAGGCGTATTGGAGACAAGACACCACCACCACCACAAAGAGGTACCTCTCTTTGCATTTACGTTCATGTAGTTTAGTTTAGTTGTTATAGTTTGTGTGCATTGAGAGTAATGCAACCTTCAAGTTTGGGGAGGTATTGTCCATAAGCATTTGCATTGATAGTTTTTGTATATTTTTTTATGACTTTAATTAGGTTGAGTTAGTTTTTTCTGGAATAAGTTAAGGATTCCCGATGATGATAAATTTTTGTTATGGTTGTGAATTGAATTTACACAACTGTTAGGATTGATATGACCAATCTTAGAGCTTGATTCTTTGTGAGCCTTTGATACACGATCAACTTAGAAATTTTTTATGAAAGAACTATTACCTGTTGCAACAATAATTTATGAATAATGGACTTATTGTTTAAATGCTTAATTAAGCTCCTTTATGTTTGTAAATGTTGTTGAATTATGAATAAATGCTTCGGCATGACTGTAGATGGTCACTCCTCTTTGCTATAGGAGTGAATACTACGTTTCGGTAAATGACAGTTATAGCATATGAGTGAATGAAAGCAGTTATAGGATGACTCAGCCCGACTAGCTTCGAGGATGAAATGTTTGCTCCAATTCATCTAAAGTGTGGGATGGTAGTTGTGTAGTTAATTCCCCTCGTAGTAGTGTTAAAAAAAATTAATGTTAAGGAAATGGGAGTAAATATGTGTTTAATGGGTAAAGAAATGCTAAAGAAAAACAGGGAACTTGCCTAGAAATTTTCTAACTTCGTTAAATATGGACTGGATATAATTACACATACTTACATAAAGGGTCTTGCTCTAGGGAAACACTCTTGATATTATGATTTGTCTAGCATGTTGAAGCCAATTATTTATGTGGGTTGAAATTTTATCCAAATATTACTGTCTTGACGAAACTTCTGCCATTGCATTATTTTCTACTAATCATTATTTATTGCTTGAGGGAAGTAATAACTTAAGTTTGCGGGTGATAACCCCATAAAAAGGTTGTATTTTTGTAGCTTTTTACTTAGTTATTGTTTGTTTTAAAGCCAATGTCATAACATTTAGATTGCATTTAGGTCATGTAATTGCATTTGGTGGTATTGTCTTGCTATATCACTTATTTGTTAAAAACGGGTGCTACTGATTGAAAGATCTTGCTCTTTTGGTGTTGTGTAGGTGAGGAATGATTAAAGAGAAGATGTGATCAATGTAGCAATCTGAGGAAGGAGAGCTGAAAGAAATGTCACAAAAAATGTTGGATGATTGTTATAGCATGCTAGAGAAAAACTTGCTCCAGTGAACGATGAGAAGCAAAATCTGGAGTAGAAAAAACAAAATAGCAAAAATATCATTGCCAAGCTATCTAGCAACACGTGACTTACTGCCCTTACTGTAAATTTTGAGACCACCTGCCACACTAACCGCCTATTCACGTGAGGACGATGAAACCTGGGGTAGAAAGGGAATTTAGGGCCTAAAACCCTAGAAAAATTCCCCTCTATAAATACTAAGGTACCCTATATTTTAAATAGTACTTTTAGGAGGTGATCTAAGAGAGAAAGGTGGCTGCACATTCCTCAATTTCTCCTTATTTTTCATTCTTTTTTATGGTGTCCTCTATAGCTGAGCTTCAAAGGGTTAGCATATAGACCCTAGAGAAAGGTTAGCTTGTTAAGGCAATGCATAACAGTAGAGCTAAGTGTCACAGTAATAGCTCATTTGGGAGTTCTCTCTTTCTTGTGTTTTTATTATCTATCTTATTTTAGATTTTAATTTCGAATGATCTTGGATGAACTTAGCCACACCATGAACTAATTTATTTTGCATTATATTGTGTTTAGTCTTGTAAGAGCTTTTGAGATATTACCATTTTCTAAGCATAGATACACAATATCGAGAGAGATAGGTTAATCTACATGAACAAGGGAGCTAAAGGATGGTGAGGTTCTAACCCACTTAGAGATAAGTATAGGGTTTTATTAGACTAAAAGGGATAACACTTACTCGATAGGCTAGTGTTGCAGTTCACGCTGAGAGGTATTTTCGTAGCATTAGTTTTTCAGGTTCCTTGCTAGAGATAGTTTAGGAGCACTTTCAGCAAATCTTGTCGGGCAATATACTCATAGGACTATAGACAATTCTAGACATATAATATTAGTTTCCATAGCAAATCCAGCTAATTAATCAAAGAGAAGCTTGAATGTGTGAGGTTATCAGTCTTATCTCACTTTCCAAAGTTTAATTTTTTTATTGCTTCAACATAATTTTATGATTTTGTTAAGTTGTTGCCTCAACATACTTTTACAATTTCATTAAACTTTCACCGTAACAACATTACATCACTTCACTCTATACTTGTTACATCACCTCTACACACCTTATACGTACCATCTCCTACAGTATTACCCTCACTTGTTTACCATGATACTTAGATACTTAGAGTAGTTCGTAAACCCCTTTGGCTATAGCTTGTTTAAAGAATTCCCTCCAATCCCTGTGGAGACGATACTCACTCACTATTGTATTACTTGCATCAATTGTGTAAACTCGCATAGAATTACATTCCATAATATACATTTATTTGAGATCATGGTCCCTTTTAATCCTCATAAGACTTTAATAATTGTTGGGAACCTTAGTAGGGTATTTTGCGTAGAAAGTCAGCAATTTTTGTGCCCAAACATGGCATTTCTAGGCACGAGTATTGATACTGAAAGAATAGTAATGATACTATTCATTAACAGTTTAAATAAAGGGTTTAGGTTAAAAGTATTGATACTTCTTCATTGGGTATCGATACTGGGTTTGGGTATTAATACTCTTAGTAGAAGTATCAATATATGATCACTTAGTAATTTCAGTAGCCATTTTGTTCGTACTTATGGGAGTATCGATATGGTAGAGTA